AATGCGTAGTTTTCAATCAATGAAAATCCATTGATTTTCAATGATTAATGCCACTACTTGTGAATATGCGTTAACTAAGTTTAATATTATGTAACTCGACTTCAATGAAAAGTTATAACCTTTAGAAAATGACAAGGTACTCAAGACAGATACAGTAATTTATGAAAAATAATACTACATGCGAGTAGGGGTGGACCATTTACATTAATTTTAAATTAAGTTCAATATCATGATTTAGCGATAAATTACAAGTATGAAGTGTCAGGAAGAAAAAACATCTTAAGTTTCATGTTAACTGACACTAATTCAAAGTCTCATTTAGAAAAATGGTCCATCCCTATTTGATAAAATTTTAGAGTAGCTAGGAATATATTGGAAAGAATATGAATATTTTGGCATGGTTGGGAATGGCTAGGAATGGCTGGGAATGGCTAGGAATGGCTAGGAATGGCTAGGAATGGCTGGGAATGGCTGGGAATGCCAGTGAATGCCCGAATGAGTTTTTTCCCCCTTGAGTGCCTCTATACGACAGCACCTGAGGAACTAAGGATACCATACTTGAGATGTTAAAGTAACCTTTAAAATATAGCACTTGAGATACCAGGGGTTTCCTATCTGAGACAATTTTACCAATTTTTTTAGCTAAACTTAACTATCTGAACAGTTGAGTACAGTTCGAAAGAGTTATTCAAACAGTTCATCAATTTGTGTGAACTCAGCTCGTCAGGCAAAATTGCCTTGGCCTTATAGTATATGGTATGCTGCAAGTAGATGCAGCTTGTAGTATTGATCTTTCTCTTCCTACTGCTTCAATAGTAACGTCACAGGTGGTATCATCTTATTTCTTTTTCGTTTTTCGTTATGTGCTAATATGTTAACATCGTGTCTACACTAGGACTATAACAGCTCGGAGCTGGTGAGCTGTTCAAACAGCTCCTCCGAGCTGAGCTGAACTGTTCGAACAGCTCAGTTCAGTTTGAAAGAGCTGTTCGAACAGCTCATCGGCTCATTTGAGCCCGGTTCATGAGCTGAGGCTGTCGTAGTCCTAGTCTACACATCGAAAATTAATGATCAATATTAGCATACTAACAATATGAATACAATTCGACATATTCATTAAATGCGTATGTGGCGAAGGAAAGCATTACAAGTATCCGGGAAATGTATAGGTCTTTCTTTTTCGCTGTTGAATAAAAGGCAAAGGTATTATATAAAACAATAACCTAAATAATATCGATCCATCCAAGCAATCTATTCACTAGAAATAAACCGGTAGCTTTTGAAAACTAATGACGACTAGCAGCGATGTTACTCTGTAGATGAGGATTTTCGTAATAACTATGTGAGAGCGAACCTCGATCAATGCATAATTCTGCTCTGATATATAGTAAGTTACATTATGGAAATGGATGAAGAAAGCCAAGCTGAACAACTTTTGCACTGGAAGTTTTATTTTATTTTCGATAATTAAAGTAGTAGACGTTTCAAAAACGATTTTCAGCTAAAATAGCTGGAGTTATCTGAATTACCCCGAATAAAATTGCTGAGTGATCCGAATTACCCCAAACACAGTTTTGAGTAGTTTGAGAGAGGCCTTTTGACTGCTTATATAATGTGGGAATAGCTCATTCAATCGTTGTGATATCTTCAGGTCCCATGGAGGACTGTTAGAGCTACAGAGTTGCTTTGTCTACTCTTTTAATAAATGTTGGATAATATCGAGTAAAACGATGGGGAAATTTGAGTAGAACTTTTACAGCTATTTTTGCTGGATTGATCCGAATTACCCCGACTAGATTAGCTTACTGATCCGAACTATCCAAAATGGGGTAATTGGGATCAGCTTCACACCTCTTTCACCATTTTGCCCAATACTTTTTCCCAGTATATTATTTTTCGGTGATTGTTTCACCAGTAGATAGAGGACACTTTGATCTAGCTGTGATAAAAGATTCACCATTGCACATACTGTAATCATTGAGGAGCGAGTAAAAACAAAATGAAATTTCAAAGTTTTGATCAGATTTACCCCAGCAGACTCTACTATACAACTGGATGTAAAATTTATTGAAATAAAAGGCAAACAATTGGCTCAAAAGATTATCGCCGGAATAGATTTGTTAGCATTTGCAAGCTTTATTCGAGGTCCTACTCGTCGTCACATTTACTTAATGATCCAGAACAAGAAAGAACATGGTGTATAGTTCGATATTTGTGCTCTATGCGAAGTTTTGTTTCATTTATCAGCATTTTTTATTATCTTCTATATCGTTAGTCAATTTAATCTTTATTCTATAGTTAATTAATTTGATATCTCGACAAAAATCGAAATCTTGTCATGAATCGTATGCAACACATGTGGAAACAATTTCACCAAAATAAACATTGACTATTGAGTCTTCTGGTCTGACTCCAATGCCATTGCCTCCTTCGTTTATTCCCTTTGTTTCAGAATGTATGAAATCAGCTCGACATTCTTGGCTATATCTTGAAAGTTATGTTCTTCTATTTATTCAGCCATTAATTGTATTTATACTCTTTGTTTTACCTTCAAATTTCTATTGGAAATTGATCGTTGGCTTTAACGACAATAACTATACCATTGGGTCAAAAAACTCTGTCTATAATGCTTTGATTTCATTGTTATTTTCTACTGTTTCTTTTGTGAGCATGTATGGTGATGGCTTGTTATGTGTGTGTGTGCATTGCCAGTTTATACTTTTACTTTAAAGAAAAACACATGTTTACGTCAATACTACTGTAAGATTTGTTTTATTTTTCAAATCAAGTGTACGACAAGATGCAGCGTATTTCTTATTGAATCTTTATATATTTTATCTTATAGTAAATCAAAGAGTTTTCGTAATGAGAAGAAAAAACCTAGGACCAATTCGATCAGATTTCAGTTTAATTTTTAAAAGAATAAAAATCCACATTTTTGATTCATTTACTAATGACTGTCATCGTTAATTGATGTAGAACATAGAATATGTGGGTAGAAGTTTGATAAGAGTTTACCGATAATATAAATGTTGCCTTTCACTGACAGTTGCTCCCCGAATAGTTGACCACGTAGTTGGCGGGAGCGGGTAGGTAGAGAATGAGTTTTTAGTTTAATCTGAGTCTCAGGAGCGTGTGCCGCTGAAAAACAAATGTAACGGAAGTGTCTGTCAGGCAAACATCATTCATGGAACCGCCGAAGAAAATTTAAAAACATAACAACAATGCGGATACGATTTATTCATGCAAAATAAATTTAACAAAGTATGTGCATCATAAAAGTAATATAAGCTTAGTTTCATTTTGTACGAAGAAGAAGAAGACAGCATTTTTGTAACAGTTCATTGACCACAAATATGTATCGATTGTCGACCATATGATGGGGAATATGAATTTGCGGCAAAATCGAATTCATTAAAATCATCTCTATTTGTGGCAAAATAAAAACTGTACTGGTATAGGGTTATAAGCAGTATACCGCTATACTACTATACCATATGATGGGGTGCTTAGTGTGGGTGCAGATGGGGAGAGTGATACCTAGTGTGGGTGTGGGTGGGGGGCTTCTCCCTTGTCTCTGTCTCTGTAAGGGATACGTGGCATCTTGCTACCGCTATAACACTATAACAGTATAGTGGTATAAGCATTTTGAATTTGCCGCAAATTCAAATACCCCATGAAGCCTGAAATAGTTAAACCATTCGTTATAAGATATCTTGCAAGACAAGGAAAGTTAAATGATAACCCATCCAAAGATCTTTTTCGCTTGATAATATCAAACAAAAAGCCGGTGGAGCCAATTTTTCCTCAGCTCACTTATCTCTCTATTTTTCAAGGAACATCGATTAACGAAGATTGTCGAGACATATTATTATATGTTGCAGCTGGCGGAACTACTATGAATACATTTACGTGGAGATCTTGTTCTAATCAAACTCATCATGCAAAAGCATTCTTTGATTGGTTATTTCGATGTTCAATTAATTTGCATAGTTTCAGACTTGAGAACCCATTAGGTGAAAATGACTTTGAGCTGACATATCAACATACGGTTCTAAATGTTTATCGTCCTCATCAATCACTTACTTCTCTCACAATCAACATTCTTAACTTTTTGACTCTTGATATACTACTTCACTATCTCCTCAAACTTAAATATCTAGGTACGTACGAACGAACACATCTATTTTATTTAAATACGTTTAGAGTAATTAGTTAAAAACAAAATCTATTATCACAATCCGTAAAAGATTAAAATATCAAACACGGTGTATTTTGTCAATATGCATTAAGTGACCGTGGTTCTGCTTTCGATCTATAGTATTTTCCTACTTTATTTGTTGTTTCCTCAGATGCATTTCTAATTCGAAATCTTCCACTCCTTCGAACAGTGATAAAATTCAGTAAAAGTATTATATGAACTTCTGACATTTTTTAATCTGTAGAAGATTGGCAAGCAAATGTTTAGCATATAATTACAATACTAGTCTAACTAGTTATATATCTAATATATATTTACAGATGTACATATTAGCAAACCAATTGAAGAAACAGACATCACTGATCAACTTCTGCCAAGGAATCTCAATTATCCAAAAGAACTTCGCACACTAAAACTACGGTATACACAAAACTATCTTCTAGACTCTAATCAACTAGTTATGTTCTTTTCAAAGATATTTAAATGTTCGAGGTAAAGGTTACTATCGTTTTGAACAATTAGCGGAAAAATTTGCTGAGACGCTGGAGCATTTTTCATTATCTACATATCACTATTGTCGTGGTGAACCTTATTTAAACTATAACGGTACTCGTCTTAGCATACTTTGTCAAAAATTATTGCATCTAAGATCGCTACATTTTGCTATTCAAGTTCAGTTATGCGAAAAGTCAAACAATCAAACGCTTACTGAATTCACAAGAACATTTCGTATACCTTTTTGGCTCGATGGACCGTTTGGCCGTAAGCGTGTATGCGTAGACTTCCATCAACTATACAATATTGTACAGATGTTTTCTCTTCCATATACTTTTAATGGCATCGCTCTGATTCGCACAATTAATCTCATTGATATGCAATTCAATACTAGTGAAGAAGAAGAAGAAAAAGTTCCAATTAATTTATCCTTAGCACTTGAATCTTTATGGTGTGGAATGGATCATATATATATATATCTGCTTGGCAGAAAAACAAAAAGTACCATTGCCATTTTTTCAAGCTCTTCAATGTCCACGTAGTCAAGGTGAACTGTTCAATATACATTTTTTGTTGAATGATTTTGTACTAAGTCGTGCATTGTCGTTGTAGGTAAAACATTAACAATACTTCACAAAAGGGGAATTATTCCGGATAATGTTGAAGGTAATGTACAACTCACGCATTTCAATATTCTCGAACTAAACAATCCAATCGACGCGAATTCTGCTTATAATCTCGAAGGTATTTATTCGCATTTCTTTTCACGTATTATATTTATTATTTGATAAGATCTATAAGTGGAAGTTGTATTCTATCAATCCCAATAAAATAGTGATCAGTGACATGTTCATATCGAGAGAATGCTGGGTGAGAAGTACGATTATACATATGCACTTCACCCTAGTACCAGAAATAATATCTTTATTAAATTTTGACTAGCTTCATTATTTGAAGACGTTAAGTTCAAAATTGGAGTAAAAAGAAATTTTCTTTGTCAATGGATTATCGAACAAAGTCATGATCGCGCCAAGAAATCTTCCAGTTCGAAATTTTTGCACTCGATTGTGATCTATAAAATTTCCTAATTTAATTTTCAAACTTAGATATTAAAAGAAGGAATTAAATTAAACTAAAGCATAGCGAAAAGGCATCATATGTTTATTTAAGTGCGTACTTAAATATTTACGGTGGCTTGACTCAATACATCCTTATCATGTAAAAACAAACAGCTAAAAATCAGATTAAAATCTTATTCTTCCAGTTTAAAAACAGATTCCGTATCTATATTGAACTTACAATTATCTGTGTACTATGATATTAGGTAGGGGAGAATTGTAGCACATTACGTGTTTATTATAAACTTGAACAAAAATTAAGGTGCTATTTTTTTTATTACAGAGTTATGTTCTTGGCTTCGATTGCTACCAAACATTAAATGTCTAGATGTTTATTTAACAGAATTGAAATATTGGTTCAATACTGATGCCAATAATCCACATCTCGATTCCTTTCTTCGACGTATTGAACGTTTATATGTCGAGTGCTCAGACGTTATTAATGCAAAGATGAATGAAGAAATCATGGAACCACTTCTTTTGTTTCTTATTGATAAGCATCGTTTTCCTCAATTGCGATGCTTGCGTTTCATGAATTGCAAGAACATTTCATCAGCATGGAACAACATTGAACATTGGATTGATTTTATTCTTACTCGTGCTAGCGAACATCAACTCGCATGCGTACGGTTCGATTTTATTGAAAAAGAACAGGAAATAGCAGATTTGCATACCGGTGATGAAACAATTGCAATCACTGATCTACCGTATACCATTAATATTCATCGGTTTGTAAAAGAAAAGCATGTCGCATTATGGTTGGAACGAAAGCACAAGCAATTTTTCTAAACGAATAAATTTTCATGCGTGTCGAATAGTCTAAATACTTTGTTTTACATTTTTTGTTCAACTAACACGAGTAGATTTAGTAAAGAAGCTTCTTTTATAAATTGTATTGGTTCACAATCTAATAGAAGACGTTAATATCATCAATGTAATCGATTCTTATTCAAGTTCAAATATTTTTTTGTATTTAGTAAAGAAGAAATATTGTCAATTTAATACCTAGATAATTGCTTGCTGCATCACATGTGAAATACCCCTGATAGTTTACTTCATTAATTGGGAAGCTTTTTGTAAAGTGATTTATCAGATTATGCTGCTTCCATTACACAATGAATTTAAGCAAAAATTACACAAATTATCAACAGTGAACAAAACAATAACTGCTGAAGTCAATTAAATGTATTTGAAACAATGTCTAACTGCTGTCATAGTATGTATCGCAATGAATTATCCATATTGAAATCCATCACTAGTTTGTATTTATCATGCAGAAGTATTTCTTCGATATACGAGTAAATATTGTTTTTTTTTGATGATAAAAAATCGGAAACTTGAATTGAGGCTTTTTGAAGCAAACCCTAGCAATCGGATAGCGAGAAACCTACAATTATTGGATACGTTTCCATAGCAACAGGAAAAGGCACGTGAGTAATATCAGTTTTTGGATCAGTCTGAGGGTGTAGATAAGGATGAGAACAAAACCCATATTCTCCCACACCCGCACCCTCAAGTGGTTTTTCTTATTTCGTCGTTTGTATTCGAAGTCGAATTAGATAGCTACTCACGGAATGGATAGTTATACATTGCTCTCAATAATAAATACGCTAAAAATACTTATTCCATACGTATTTTTCTAGAATTCAGTGTAAAAACTTATTCTTTTAAATAATAGCACGATTTCGTAATCACCAAACTGGAAACCGATTAGACTCCAATGGCGATGGAGCGGCATATGGACACGCACTTAATGGTGGTGCATATCAAGTTTGGCATATCATAAATATTCATAACAATTGTGCCAGTTTAAAAAATGATACAACTGGCTTATTTTTAGATAGTGATCATGCAGGTGGCGTTTGTGCATTGCCTTCGAATAAAAGTGCCCATCAAATATGTAGATTTGATGGTCTTCGTATTATAAATGACGCAACTGGTAGAGCTTTAGATTCAGACCACGAAGGAAAGTTTTACACGGTGAACCCAAGTAGAGAAAATTATCAAAATTGAATTCACGAATACAAGACAATATCATAGGCATAATACATATGAATTCGTTTATCTAACTCAAAGATTATTTGTGTGGGATTTTTACTAACAACAGAATTTTTCAATAAACTTAGCTAACATCTTAGCTATTCTATGAGTAAACAAATCGAAGAAGGAGATATGACCTTACGCAGATTTTGATAAGATTTCAGTCAATTTCAAGCTTCGAATCTTTTACTGGTTGTCGTCTGTCGATTGTTAATGTGAACTATCGACCAGATTAATTGAAATCTCATATGAAATCTGAATGTTTTCTCTTGATGAACATGCCATTCTCTGTAAACTTCTCGTAGATAATTTGATTGACTATATATACGAGAGAGTTGAGTATAAATTTTATCGCTCATATATTGGGTGTAATGATAACGGACATGCGCGAGAAAATAAATATTTGTTTTAGAAAATCTAAAAAAAAGAAACCAATCTGTCAATAGTAATATTCTATTCAGGCGGTATTCAAATCTATCAAAGCAAGATATTCTCAAAACTAGTCAAAGCTCTTATGTGTTTTGTCGCTTTCAATTATATTCTTTCAAATGTCGATAGATTTCTCAGACGCGTCTACTTTCTAATCATTCCTCAAGCATATTTTCACAGATCGTATGACTATTTTATAATTCTACACATCTTTGTCATACCTCGCACACATGACAAACTATCAGTGTTACCTATTTAAAGTGTGAGGAAACGTTAAACTGTCAGCGTCGATAATTTACACTTATATTGTTCCAAAACTTAGCTGGTTTTCAAAGATAGAAAACAAGACATATCAATGATACTATCTTGTTGGAAATAATTGAATATTTTAGATAAAAATACTTCGTAGGATTTACCGATATGTGCATCGAATTCTCAATCGAAGAAATATAGATAGGGCGCAACATCATTTACGCGACAGTGCTTGGTTTGGCTGAGTTGAATTTTTATTCCGTGTAATATTTTTCTTGCCTGTCACATGGCCAGCAAAGATCTTTCATTCGTTATTCCCAATGAATCAATATCACACAATTTCAACTTTTGGGTCTATCTCACTCTTCTCATTCCATCCACTATTTGCTCTGTCTATTCACTATATTGTCTCTCGTGCAACAGAGCACTACGTCACGCTCTTCATAATCATACGATCATAATTTTTCTACTTCTTGGTCTAATTTATGAACTCACTTATTTTTCATGGATATTGCATTTTCATTCACGAAATGGTATATGGAAAAGATCACCTTTCTTTTGTACTCTATGGGCTTTTGTTGATTGGGAACTTTATTTTACACAAATAATACTCTTTGCATGGGCTACAATAGAAAGATATATTCTTATCTTTCACGATAAATGGCTTTCAACTGAAATAAAATGCTTCTTTGTACACTATTTACCGCTAATTATATTGACTCTCTATTGTCTCATTTCTTACGTAATTTTTATACTTTATCCACCTTGTCGCAATACGTTCGATAGTAGTAAACAAGTTTGCCTTTTATTTTGTTTGCTTAACTCCATTCCTTTTTACATATACGACATAATAGCCCATGAAATTTTGCCAAATTTGATTATTGTTACGTTTAGGATTGGTCTATTAGTACGTATTTATTGGCAAAAACATCGCATAGGTCAATCATTGAAGTGGCGAAAGCACTGGAGAATGACGGTGCAACTTTCATTTATTTCCATCAATTATCTTTTTCTTGCATTACCATTAACACTGTTGAAAGTTGCAGGTCTTATCGGCATACGTCACGGCGTGACTAGCAATCTGTTGGAGTATTCAATATTTTTGAACTATTGTAGAGTGCTTGTTTATCCAATTACTCTTACTATATCATTACCGCAAGTGAAGCAGGAAACGAACAACATATTACAAGCAATCCGTCGTGCAGGAACTATTACACCAATAAAATGAACGAACAGAACATCCAAGGTCGTGGCGGTACGGTGGGAAGCGACCGGAAAACACAGGAAGTCGCCGGAAAGTGAAAGCAGTATTCCGATCGTAAATTCCCAGATTTTTTTCCGGTGTATTCTGGTCAACTTCCAGTGAGTTCCAGCAGGAATCGACAAGGGTGTGGGTGTGGGTGTTAAAATCGTCTATAGACACCCACATCCACTCTCACCCCTACACCCCCAAAGAAAACAATTTTCTCTTTAAATGCTTGTCTATCTTTAGCATTGAACTATATTTGAGATAGTCCGTAAAAAAATAAAATAAAATAAAATAGACCAGTATTATTAAAGTTCTTGATATTCAATTCTATGTATGTCATGAAATAAAACAGATCCTAGAGATTGGAATAAATCGTTTTTCTTTCTTTTCATTTTGAACATTTTGCGACATGAGAGATTGAGAACTTCTTTTCTATAATGTAAAATATTTCTCCTACTGGACTATTTAAAGTTCCATATACTTGAAGATATCATGAGGATTCATTTGAAATTACTGTTCTGTGATGAGCTGTGAACGCTTCGCTTAATTTATTTTTTGAGGCACATTTTGTTCATCAACATAAAAGGAAATATGTTCTAAACTAGAATCACAATGCGTATGAAAAGTAAGCTAAAGTATCCAAATGAAGCAAGGTTTCATTTTACCTTTTGATGCATCCTACGTATTCAGAAAACTCTTTTTCTGTTTCTTTATATTGATTTTGTTGTGCTCATCTCAAGATTTGCGACTCTTTTACTAAAGTTAAGATTCTCAAGGTGATGTTGATGATTACGATGATTTCATCTATTCACAGATGAACTCTATTATGAGAACATTTTCCGGTGAAGAAAAAAAAACATTCTAGAATCATATGGCAATGATTTATTCATCGGACGAATCTCTCAAGAATACAAAGCTAGCAATACATTTCCGTAGTATGAAGGATTTTGTCTGACCTCATTTTTTGGGCTGCATATAAATGAAAATAATTATCTTTACTGTAAATAGGATTAATGATAAGTTAACATTATAGTTGCATGATCGCATGAGAACAGTAAGCATAATGGATCCGTCCTTTATTTCTTTGTAGATATTTCCTTTGACACGTGTTCTAGACATTGAACCAAAAATTCTGTCATTATTATCTGAGCTTTATGGCGTTCCAATTTCTAGACATTATAGGTAATTTCTTTTTCTTCCGTACACGTTTAAATAATACTCGAAGTAATATATTGAAACAACAAAATGAACTAAACAATAACATTGAAAAAAAAATCATGAACGCAAATGATCAATCTATTGTTAAGTTTATTACAGAGAAATAGAAATAAGATCTTTTTTTTCATTTATCTATGAAAATTTAAATCTTCATGCCCTACTTTGACTCTATATGATGGTTGGGTTATAATATTAATGTTAGAATATTGTTTCGCATCACTAACTCCCCTCATCTTGCATTATTTGCTTGTCTGTCGAATTTCATCTACTGTCTAATCTCTCTTAAATATTTCTCGGATTGGCATCCGCGCTTATTCTTCTCATGGCAAATTATCTATTTGGCTTCTTAATCGAGAATAAACTGCTTCTAATACATAAAAAAAACGTTCTCCGATATTTATTTCTATTGAAATCAAACCCTATAAGATACTGGCATCGTTGTCAGATATTTCCAAGAGTTTATAAAGACCTCCTTTCAGGCAGTTCAAACTAAATAAAAAATAGAAAAACAGCCAATTTTACCTCAAATACAAAAATCTTCGTGCTTTCACTTGCATCCAAATAAAGCTCAATTGAGAAAACTAATGGATTGTATACGTTAGCTAGCAATTTGACTTAGAGAGAAGAGAAAAATGATAATAATAAGATGATTGTGCACTCGTGCAGAGAAAAAATTGAATAAATAGTATTGCCGGCTGGTACTATTTTCTTTTCTTTCTATGGCTTCTCTTTTGTTTGTATGTGTCTTTTATTAAAAATAACAAGTCTACAAGTTAAACAATAGAGAAGAAAACTCTAAATGAAATTTTCCTTCTTCCGTTATTTCGCTCCTCATCTGTATTTATAGATGACTTTTTTTTGCTTCTTTCGATTCTTCTTCAATATGTTCGTTTGATTGCGTAGAACTTTAACATATTTATCACACCATGTTGTTCCTATCCACAGTTCAACAATCAGACGACTCCAATCTCGTATGCTTTAGAACATTTCGAATAAATTGAAGAGTCGGAACAAATAGAAAAATACTACGTGATTTTCTTTCGTCAATGGTTATTTTTTTCTATATTCCAGATCATACGTCAGTCAAAGCAGATATTGAATTCATTCAAAACACTCAGGGCTTTTCTAGCGCCGATCGATTCTTTGAAAGACAAAGAAATGATCATGACGAAGAGGGCAGATTGTTAAATTTATTAACGACGCATATGTCTGTTTTCTTGTTATTGTTGTTTATTATTGGTTAAAATAACTCTTGAATATGGCTATTATGACTATTAGAGTTATTTGAAGAATATTCAAGACTCATGTCTGTATTTCTATGACGCAAGTGATCTTCTAGTATGACTTTCTTCGAAGTTACTTAGAAGCATCGGATAATTTAATTATGCTAAAAAACAGTTTCTATTCATTATAATATTAACTTGGCAGTTTTTTCAAATTGACAATGATATAAACATCTTGACGTTAACTATTTCCAAATGAACTTTTGCACATTTAAAGAATAAGACTCTCAGTTTCATTCAATACAATAGTTCTTAAAGGAACATCTTATTCCCATAGTCATTTTTATAAACCCTCTGTGTGCTCCTACATCAATAGAATATTAATATATTTCTAAAAAACCTAAATAGATCAATGTTTATATTTATGAAGAGAAAATGCTAACAATACGAAAGAAAACAATGGCACTTACAAAAGTAGTTTCTTTTTCAAAGATAACAATTCCCAAATTAATATGAGGATCGGATAGTAAGACAAACAATTGAGGGACAAAACATTAAATTACTTTTGAGAATATAATAATTGACACGTAAAATAACAACGAGTCTGTTTTATTTTATCGAAACTTATATGCAATCGAATTCAACACAACAATGGATGAAATTTGAACGAGCGGTTAATCCTATGAAAATTATTATCCTAGATATTTTCGCATGGAATGAAACTATTTATTTGTTTCAATAATTTACGTAAAAAAGCAAGTATGCTCTTCGACAAACACATTCATAATTTCCTGTTGTTCAATATCAACATCTATGGTTTAATTTAATGAAAAATGTTCTTGATTTCGTCTTTCGTTTTCAATAGCCATTATACCATACATAGCACGTCGTTGTTCTTGTACACGTTTCATTCTTTTCGTTAATGCAAATGCTTTCATGCGTCGCTGCATTTGTTCAGGTGTCAATTGATGCTTCATCCTTATCTTCATCAAGTAATGTTTGATTAGATAATTTTCGAAGAATAACCGTACGATCACTATCATATAAATCATTACGTTCTGTAGAATTAGTACTAATTGAAGTTTCATCCAATGATCCCTTATCAGCTGTATCGAGTAAATGATTAATTTGATCACGTTCAACCCGAAAATTGTCTCGTTTAAAAATGACTGGTGGTAAACTAGGTAATAATTGTGCATGACGAATAGCCATTCTAAATTAATATCATGTATAAGAAAAAACAGAATCATAATAAAATGAACCGATTTACCTTAAATCTTCGCCTGCTGTTTTCAATAGATCTTCGATAATATTTGTTTCTTGTTCAGGCGACCATCATAGAATTCCAATACGATTTAAATCAACCGGACCAATGATCTAAATAAATTTCGGGAAAAAGCGAATGAATTAAATTTTTTTAAATAACAAACATTGGTTAATTGAAAAACTTTTCCCGCTAATATATCACCAATTTCACCTGAACCAATAAGATCAGCAAGAAATGCTCGTAATATTTTACTTCAATGTACTGCACCCTTTTTTGCTCAACATGATCATATGATACATGTTTTGATCGTTTAACAACCGATGGATCCGACTATACTATTTATTTATAGAATATTTATGTATTAAGAAATCTAAACACTTACAGAATGAGAAAAATATTCTTTGTATTCACTTGAACTAAAAATAGAAACTATTTAAATGAATTCACATTACCAAGTACATATTGAATTAAAAGTTTTTTTTTAATTTTAGCAGATACAATTAGTTGTAAAGTGGGAGAGATTTTCTTTTTGTCGATGATAATTTAAACGAAGGAGAACAAAGCTTGAGTAGCTAAGAGACTTCATTAAAAAAATTTAAAAGCCTATCGCATGTAAAAGCAAGACCTCTGAAAAGCATTTCTTTTTAATTCCAACAGAAACATTTTTGAACGCATTGACATTTTCTTGAACTTTTCATGACCTTGTTTCATTAAGTTGCACTCGATCTACGAAAGTCTCGAAGCGTATACACAGCAACTTTTTGGAAACAAATTGCAGCTTGAAAAAGAAAGATCATGGAAACCTGAAGAACACTTCAATTACTTAAAAAAAATTTCTGCTATTGGATAGACTTATTAACAAACTTTTTCTAGTCAAATTCAGAAAGCATCTGATATAGTTTATTTTCTTGCGCTAAAAATATACACTTTGAAGGAATAAGTTTTCCGTCAGAGTATGTTGTCATTAAATATTACTACCGTTTATCAATTAATCGTTTTAACGTTCCTTGTGATTCTTTTTTCTTGAACTGTTTTGTCACAATATGTTTCATATGTGGATTTTTATTCATTTGAGTAATTTCGTTTAAATAAATCATATACATGTCTCGTTTTATTTCCAAATTGATATGGGTTTAAAAACATTTTTTTCTTTCTATCTGTACAATTTTATTACAATCTGTTCACATATGTATATATTACAGTAATATAAATGCAAAATATTTAATTACAATATCGTTCTAACAAATCGAATTATCAATCTAAATATAGGCGGAAAAAAAAGGAACAGAATGCTAGTTAACATAAAGGCCACTCGAGTATAACATACGCAAATTTTTGGTCATTTTAATTCCGGTTTCCCTCTAAACCAAATGATATATGCAATGGCCTCAAACTTGCACCGAAGTTCAAGTTAAGGGTGTTTGTGCATGCGTCATCAGTTCCACATGCACTCACACCCTAAATAAATGAAATTTGAATAGAGATTATTCAATATGATTTACAGATGATTATATATGAATTTTTAAGCATATTCTGAGAATCAGTTGTAAAACGAAGAGAAACTTTCTATTGGATTCGATTCCCGTGAAACTTGTTCTTCTAACCGTAGTCGATCGGTTGAGAGCAAAAAATGAAGGGCGAAATTTCAATTCTACCAATATACTCATGATCAACGTGAACTTGGTAATGGATTTATATAGTTATTGCAATAAATATAAAGAAAAAGTTGCCGACAAAAATATTTGACACCATTGCCAACATTAGACGAGTAGCATTGATAGATATTTCAAACGTGTGTCGCAAAAACAAACATTGACGGCATACTCAATTGACTGTGTTTTGTGTTATTTTAATATGCAAACAAGAAAAGAAGAAACAACAATTCAATCAAGAACTAACTTGACTACGATTTATTTCTTCATGTTCAACATGTTGTCTTTTCAGAATGATCATATGCTGCTATTTGACAATTTTTATCTATATGAATTTGATATTTTCAATCGAAATTTCTCAGAACTGCAATGATACCAAAAAACAAAACATAGTATACACATTTTTATGAAAATTTCAACATTCAGGTTTTTTGTTTTTCAGATAATGACATTCTAAAATCTTGTATGATGTTTTGAGTGGATATGCTTGCATGACTTTCTATAGCTTTTTTTTTCTTCAAAACACTAATAATTTTCAAGAGGAAAAACGAATTGTTGTGTAAAAATGATCATTTTATATAGACAAAACTATCGTTCAAATCAAAAATAGTATTTTATGTGTCAACGAATAAGTATAAAGACAAGATCAATTGTATTCCTTATTTCTATTGAATAGAAGAAGAAAAAATACAATAACAAAGAAAAATACTAAGTTAAATAACGAGAGAACGAAAAATTTATACTGATCAAGTTCATTCATCGACCAAATAAATTTGAGAAGAATTTCACTGTTGATCATCATTATGCGTTCGCATTCTAGAAGACAAAATAGAAAACAATAAATGGTAAAAAATTTTTATTTAATCAATATCTACAAAAGAATTTTAGGATGATCACAATGTGAAACAGTGAATCGGCAAGATCATATCAAAAAGAATTTCTCTTTATTCATTAAGTCAATAACAATACCACTGATAAAAAAATCCATGATCAAGAGTAGTTTTTACTTATTCTTCTAATTAATGAAACGTGTCAATATTTAATAAAAAAAAAGTCAAACTATTGGCAGCGATAATGAGCAAACTTTACAGCAGTTTCATCTGCTTTTGTATGTTATATCTACAGTAAAACCTCCCTTAGTGGACACTCCTCTATAGTGGACACCTCCTTATAGTGGACACTTTGGGGTCCGACGGAGCATTTTTTGCTGGGTTTAACCCTCTACATAGTGGACACTCTCTTAAGTGGACACCTCGCATAGTGGACACTTTCTTTTCAGTCCCTTTCATGTAAAATCCCATGTTGCGAATACCGGATCATTTTTTTGCGGTAAACCGCGGTATTTATCCGTTCTGCGGTAATGGGAGCCGGTAACCGGATCGGTAAAACCGCGGTTAACC